CCTGGTTGGATCGGGCTAGGGGCCAGTGCTGAAGTCTCTGCAGAAGCTGCCATTGACTCTCATCCCAGAGTCCCCGGACTTCTGGGCCCTCTCGCCACACTGGCACCATCTACTATTTGATATTTTCTTGGAGAAGAAGCTGACTTCGTTTTTTTTTAAGTTCTTGCCTTCAGACAAAGATTGTAACATCCTTCACCAGTTTGCACCACAACTAAGGACAGACAATAAGGCAGACTACTCAGGCAGAAGTCACATCAAGAGATAGTAAAACAATGCAAGGATCAACAGATGTCCTGTTCTAGGGTCCCCCAATTTCCCCAACCTTTTCTTAAGTCCCAATAAAAACTCCTTGCCTCCATGCTTCAGAGCTGATCCAACTCTTAGCATCCACACCCTTTACTCCCTTAGAAATGGAATAAACCTTTTTTTCTCTGCTTTTCTACATTTGTGAATTCTTTCACAGCCCATGACAAAGACCACCCTACGTATACCAGGATTTTTACCAGAGGAAAAAAAATTCCCAAATTGAAAGAGTAGTAAAATTTCTGACAAGGGTTAAGATGGTAGCACATACTTTACTGGTTAAGTGCTTAGTACTCTATCTCCTATCTTCTGTTCCCAAATTGGAAAGCCTCAGAAAACTGAAAGTGTTTTTTGAATTCAGTACAAACTTGACCTCTTTAACCCCTTAATGTGAAAATTCTTTGTTTCACTGCAAAATACTTGTGTGTTTAACACTTTTACAGGGAGATGGGAATTTTTTTTTTAATATACAATACAGGTTGAGCATCCTTGATCCCCAAATCTGAAATGCTCCAAAACCAAGAACTTTTTGATCACCAACAATGTGAAAACTCCACACCTGACCTTATGACAGTGATAGTCAAAATGCTGCAATACAGAAATATAAGAATTCCCTAAAGGTTGTGTGTGTAAGGCATATATGAAACATAAGTGAATTTCATGCTTAGCCTTGAGTACCATCCTCAAGATATCTCATGTCCAAAAAAAAAAAAAAAAGTCTGAAATCTGAAAGACTTCTAGTCCCAAGCATTTTGGATAAAGGATGTTTAACCTGTATATGCATTATATTTTTTATTTTTATTTTTGGAGGGGAGAGATTTTGCTATAGGTCATGTGCACTCACTGAAGAACAGGGAGAGAAAGTGAGAAATCACTCCCCAGGGGAGATGGCCATGCCACAATCCTGGTCTGCTGGCTCTCAGGAAAACCTCCACTCTTCTCGAGATTTTCGGCACAAATGCACATGCACCCAGCATCATTTGCAAGCCACCAGGTCTGGCACTCGAACTGTGGTAAGCCATGTGGGAGTCCAGCACCCTAACCCCCATGCTACCTGCTGGCCCCTTATGCATTGTATTTTTCTAAAGAAAATTTCTTTCCTAAAACCTTTCCTGGGGCTGGCAGGTAGCGTGGTGGTTAAGGATGTTAGACTCCCACATGGCTGACCGTGGTTTGAGTACCAGACTTGGCGACTTGCTTTTTCACATTTTCCCCGTCTCTCTCTTGCTTGCTTGCTCTGTCCCTCTCTGGTCAAATAAAAGTAAATAAATAAAGTTAAATAAAATAATTCTTTAAAAAAAAATTTAAAAAGACCTTTCCTAAAATTTTTTATTTCTGGTCATCTCGCTGACGGCTTTTTCAGATAAGGAGTTGTGTGGCAATCTCAGGAAAGTGTTTTAAAAAATGCTTTCTTGGGAACCAGCAGTTAGCGTAATGGCTATGTCGCTGGACTCCCACGTAGTCTACCACGGTTCGCGTCCCGGGCCCGGTGGCTTAAAACTCACACCAGGCACGTGTGCGTGCGTGCCCAAGATCCCGAGAGGAGAATGGAGGAGAAGGGACTGCGGCGTGACCATCCCCTCTGGGGGGTGATTTCTCGCTTTCTGTCTGTCTGTGTCTGTCTGGCAAGCGCACGCGCCCTATAGCGAAAACCTCTCCAAAAAAAAAAAAAAAAAAAGGGCTTTTTTTTGGGACCAGCAGTTAGCCTAATGGCTATGTCGTTGTACTCCCACACAGTAGACCGCAGTTCGAGTCCTGGACCCGGTGGCTGAAACTCACACCGGGTGCGTGTGTGCCCAAGATCCCGAGAGGAGAATGGAGAAGGGATTGTTGCGTGGCCATCCCCCCTGGGGGGTGATTTCTCGCTTTCTGTCTCTCTGTCTGTCTCTGTCTGTCTGGCGAACACACGTACCCTATAGGAAAAACCTTTCCAAAAAAATAAATGCTTTCTTCTGATCTCTTCCTATGTTACCTACAGGTTATGTTGGACATAGAGCTTGGTTCCCCACTTCATTTGTATTTTTGAAATACTGTACACTCCTAAAAAAAAATAAATTGGCAGAGGGTGTTGGGTGTGCCAGAGGTGGAGAGAAAGCAGCACTCTCCAGTGAGGTGTGGTCACGCCACAGTCCTCCATTTCTCTATCCTGCTGGGATTTGGGCATGCTGCACAAGTGCTCATTGTGCCCTTTAAGTCACCAGAGCTGGGCTTCTAACCACAGTGGACCATGTCAGCTCTGGCTTCCTTAACCATTAGGCAACAGCTGGCCCTCTAGTGCTTAAACTTTTGATCACTGTACTTCTTCGTGGATCTTTTTCTTGGAAACCACAATTGGGGATTTCTACTCCTCAACCCAGAGTTTCTTTATAAGATGCTCATGGGACTTCAATTCCTCCTTCCTCCTCTTGAAGGTCTCCGTGGCTCCCCTTGACCTCTCTAGGTAGCCACCAAAACCCACCATCTCATGGGCTCCCCATCCCGTGCACTTGGTATGGAATGTGACACCTAGTAGCTTCCCTACCACCTTCCCCAAATCTTCTTTGCCATTCTTGATGACAACTGTTCGGGTCTTTTCCATTCCAAGAATCTTGCTGCTAATAATAACTTATATACAGAAAGCAATAGCATAACTAATATGGGGAAAGTACAATGATTCTTGATGTTTCACTCTGGAGTTCCCCATGGAATTGCACTTATTTCTGATTCTGGAGTCATCAATTCTCCCTATTCTGGCTCCTCCTTTAGATACATTTACATCAGGTAATACTCATTAGGTAAAAGAACAGCAGAACTTTGAGTTTCTGAAGACAATTTTAACTGGATAATTTCCAGACTGGGTAATAGCTGATTTACTAGGTCTTTATCTTGACTAAAATGAACATCTTTGGACCTTTCTATATGGTATTTGTCCCCAGCTATGAGTCTTCTAGCAGAGTACACCCATATAAGTAGACATTCAAAAATTCAACGTGTTTTGACTTCTGTCTGGTGTTGGGCATGTAGAGTTAATCTCATGCTGAGTAGAAACCTATGCAGTTTGCTTGTTTTCTCGCTTTCCCTCTCTGGTCAAATTAAAATAAAAAAATAATGAATAAAGTTAATGAATTTTTTTTAAGGGGGCCAGTAGGTGGTGTGGTTAAGAGCACTGGACTCCCACACGGTCAACCATGGTTCAAGTCCTGGACCAGGTAGCTTGCTTTCTCACTTTCTCTCTCTCTCACTCCCTCTGGTCAAAGTTAAATAAATAAATAAATGGATAAATAAAGTTAAATAAAAGAATAATAAAAAACCTACGCAGTGTGCTAACTTCTACACAGCATACACAGGTGTTCACATCAAATGTCTGGGGGTATGAGAGCTTAGAAAAGGCTTCCTGTGGGTAGCCATAACCTAAATTTCTATGCCAGTTCCACTTACTTGACCTTGGAACAAGTAACCTCTCAATGTTGTTTTCTCACTGGTAAATTGGGCTATTGATGGCATCTCCAACACTGGATTGCTAGTTAATTCATGATTAGTGTTTGGAACAGTACCTGGCCCAGAGTAGGAGGGCAGTATATTTCTTGAGGTCAGCACTTTTTCTTTCTTCCTCCTCATAGAGACCAGGAGATAATCCATTTTTCCTTTTTCTAAAGAATAATTCGATTTAACTTTTTATTTATTTTAATTTGACCAGAGAGGGAGGGAGGAAGAGAGAAAGTGAGGAAAAAAGGCAAGCCACCAGGTAACCGTGGTGGGCCATGGGAGTCCAGCGTCCTTAACCACCAAGCCACCTGCTGCCCTCCCCCCCTTTTTTTAAGATTATTTCTCCCTTGGGAACCAGCAGTTAGCGTAATGGCTATGTCGTTGGATTCCCACGTAGTCGACTGCGGTTTCCGTCCCGGACCTGGTGGCTTAGAACTCACGCCAGGCGCGTGTGCGTGCGTGCCCAAGATCCCGAGAGGAGAATGGAAGAGAAGGGATTGCGGCGTGACCATCCCCCCCGGGGGTGATTTCTCGCTTTCTGTCTCTATGTCTCTCTCTGTCTGTCTGGCGAGCTCACGCGCCCTATAGCTAAAACCTCTCAAAAAAAATAGTATTTTTCCCATGAGCAAGAGACACACAGAGAAAGAGAACCCAAAACAGGTGTCCATTCAGCCATCCACCCATCAGCGCCGGCCAGCATACCCTGGCATACTCATGTGGCTCGGAGGGGTCCAAACTGGAAAGTGGCATGCAGGCCAGCCTCCCCAAGCGTCCTTCTCCTGCTGTGTCACTAGTTTGATTTTCCTAAGACCTGGACCTGTAACAGCTCCGCTCCCTGATGAGATCAGCTTGTGTCTAAACAAGTCTGTCCGGGCGCTTCTGTTCTTCTTCACCACCCCCAGTTCCAGAAGCGAATTCTCCAAAGCCCAGCCCAACCCAGGCCACTCCACTCCCCTTGACAAGGCAGGTGACACCCGCCCGCGCCCTCCGGCCTCTGACCTCCGGCCCCTGAGCCCTGTCCCCGCCCACCCTGGACTCTGCCCCCCCCCCTCCGCCCCGC